CTAGCAACAATAACAGGTGCGGGCCCCAGACGGGCCCCAGATCGAGTTGAGGCACGCTGGTGCTGGAATGATTCAGGTCCACGGAAAAATACTACGAGAGGGGAAAACGGGCAGTTGAGGGCAGAAGTCTATAGGGCGAAAGTGGTTGAGCAATCCGGTTTGGGTCCGAATTAGAAGATTGCCTGCTCTAATCTCTCCTCAGAAGCAGCCTTATCGGCATTTGCTATCTATCAAGGAGTTAGTTCCTCGAATCCGACGCAAAGATGCGCGCAAAACGTGAAATAACAAAACAGACTATCAGCCTTGTGCCGTGTGCAGCCTTTCCAAAATTCGGACAGACCAATATAGTAACGGATCTCTGGCATACCTGCCCTGAATCTGATCACAGCTTCATGACTAGGCAGAAAGCCCGGATTGCAGAGAAAAGCGGTCCAGACAAAAGGCTGGACAGCAAACTCCATATTTCACTGGAAAGCCTCGTTCCAAATGAACACACACACACTCACACACTCCCGCGCGCACACACATCCCGAGTCATTTATCACAGGCATTCTGGTTATGACAATCCATACCTTGGTCACGATGGACTAGGGGGGTGAGCCACGCAGGCCGTCCCGTCATGAAATTGCCCTTTTTTCCCGGACACCTTCCCCGCGAAGAAAAGACATTTTAAGCAGAACCCGGAAAGACTAGAAATATATTTCAACATACTGGTGGCGGTGAACGTTAACAACAAAACAAAAACAAGAAAACACTATTTTGAAGAAAAATCTATTCTTTGTTCTTTACACGAGCGCCAAACTACAGCACGACCGCGAAGGAGGCAATTTCCTGGCCGTGACAAAGAAAAGTATTTGGAGATGTCGGGTCACAGTCTGGGTACCACGCGGGGGCCTACCACGGCCTGGCCCTGCCACTGCCTGCCTAGCGCCACGCACAGTCGAGCACAACAACGCGAACCGTCACTAAAGCGTTCTGCAGGATCTAGTCTTCCTACCCCTACCCTGCCCCGCTTCCTGCTCGAACCGATTCTGCTTCAATGCGATCATTCAACTGCACCTGTCGGGACCACCAACAAAAAAAGGCGGGGAAACTCCTTTTTCCGTTAAAAAAGAAGCGTTAACGTAAATTGCTTTAATTGCATAAAGGCAAATCCAAGTTTCTTTACGTTGCGGATTTCTTTGTAGGCTGAGCTCTTTCTTCTCCCGAAAAACTTTGGAAATGAACACATTACTCCGAAAACCTAAGCGAGGTTTAAAGCTGGCTGACACCTTAATGCGTCTTGTACTTTTCGATGTGTTTTTAAGTAAGGGTATATCTGCTAAAAAGTGGTTTCTGGAGCAACTCTTTTGGGTCCATGATACATCATCGCCCCCAAGGCGTTTAGCCATAACAGGGTGCGTGGTCCTGCGTGAGTCTCGAAGCACGGCGGCGTCCCAGCCACACCGGCTCAACGTGTTCGCACATAGACTAGGTCAAACTTGCACATCACCTCCAGGGGTCGATGCACTGGGCCGTCTAGCGTGCGTCTAGGCCACCTGTTAGCCAAAGGGTTTCCCTCAAAACTCTGCCAAGTTGTCATGACGCTGCGGGGCAGGCATGACACCACAACATCTGCCCTGCTGGCCGATGCCTGGCGGTGCCTGCCTGGCCCAGGCACTGGGTGACTGGCTGCACAGTGTCCGAGTAAACATCTCAATTTCATCGCCGGACATTAAGGTCCGACACAAACAAGTCTGCTTGTCAGGTGTAAACGCCGGGGAGGCGCCGACTCTAAACACGACTCTCTGCTGTAGACAAAGCGTCGTGACGATGGGCTAGTTAGGGACGGACGCGGCTTCTATCGTTTCGACAAACATGGAGGAACACCGTGAGACTTTAGGACGACTGCCAAATGAAACACGCATCCAAAAAAGGCGTAATCTTCAACCAAGACAAACTTTTGGGAAACAAATTAATTTAATAGAGTTAATTTATCCCACGGAGATGATCAACTGATTTGGGCGCGAGTTCAACAAAATTTTCATGACGCGTCAACAGCTTTGAAAAGATCCGGAATCCGAACAGAGACCAACAGAGCCCGCAACTCGCTCGTCGCGGCAAACATGGGCGTGTTTTGAAACGCCGCGTCGAATGGCGCATCGAATGCCAGAAAGCCATGTTGGGCCTCACCTCGTATTCCAAACACGGCCCCGGTTGCCACGGTCCTAAATCCCCCGAGCCCGAGGGCCCAGGGCCCAGCACTGGGCAAGGCACTGGGGCGGAGCGTCCCCGGGGACCGCGTCGGACCGGGACGCGCCATCCCGGATTCAGGTAATGCTCGCCTCGAATAAAAGTCCCTCTCGCCATTCATCATATTTTGACAGAAATGTCATTAGCCGGGCTTATCACGGAAGGGACGTGGAGAAGGACTCCGCCGGGGATCGGAGCGCGGAGCCTCGGCGGAGCCGCGCGCAGCCAGTCCAGAGACGGCGTCGGGGAAGGCCTCGGAGCCCATGGGGTCCGACGGACGGGGTCCGACGGGGTCCCTCGGGATTGGGATCAGCCATAGACCGCTTTCTATACCATTGATCTTGCTGTCGGCCCTGTTTTCAAACGCTGTGCAGGCAGTGCCAGTCATGGCGCGCCAGGGGTGGAAGCACGACGAGAGGAGGAAAGAAGCGCGTGGAAGAGGAGAAGCAGAAGAGGAAATGAAATGAAAGCAGACGAGTAAAGGAAGATAAAGAAGAGGGACGAGGAAAGAGGAAAAAGTAGGGGAGAGAGAGAGTAGTCAGTATTTGATAAAAGAGGAATAGTACACAAAACTCTCAAAAAGAAGGTCGAATAGAATGCTTCACGAAGATTTCGGATTGTCGCAAGAGGTCGCAAGGACCAATTTCCGAGGCAAAATCAACAGGAAACACGAAAAGGAACGACTGAAACGGAATGACGCGGATCCACGAGACAAGGGGCATCCCTTGGCGGATGCAAATCAAGGCGCAGCGCTCTTTGCCTTGTCACCGACTCTTCACGGCGGACAGGTGCGACGCGAATAGTGTGCTTTCGAGTGTTTTCGTCGCGCGCGCGCGCGAGAGAGAGAAAGAGAGAGAGAGAGAGAGAGAGAGAGAGAGAGAGAGAGAGAGAGAGAGAGAGAGAGAGAGAGAGAGAGAGAGAGAGAGAGAGAGAGAGAGCCTGATAGAGAGATTTGCAGTGCCCGCAATGCCCCTGTCGATTCCACAGTGTCTGTCGCGACTGTCGAATCCGCGCCGCGTCTCTGCCAGTCTCTTGTCGCGGCCCGACGGCACGGGGCGACGCAAGCGACGCAAAGACGGCGAGGCACCGGATTGGCCGTCCTCAGAGAGACGCGCTTCCAGCCGCCCCCCGCAACGCTGTGCCCCGCGCGCCAGCCCGCCAGCCCGCCAGCCCGCCAGGCACCAATCCGAGGCGGCGGCCCGACAGGCCGACGGACAGGCCGACGGACAGACACACGGACCGGACGGCGGGAGAGTGGCGCGGCCTCCCCTTCCCTTTTGAACCGGAAGATTGATGGTGCCTTCGTACATTTTACTTCAATGATACCGGGGAGGGCCTGCAGGCCTTGGGGCTGGGGCGAAGGAAGGGGCGATGAAAAATACATCCCCCGTCGGGGGGGGCGGCGCGGCCTGGCTCGGCCTCGGCCTGCTCAGAGAGGCCTGCCTGTCGAGAATCGAAATTATTCGAGCCGAATCGAAAAAGGAGAGGGGAGGGGCGAGGCGGATGAAATAATCCAATTCAACGAGCCCGCATTCGCTTGCATTGCCAACCCCGATCCACTGACACCACGTGGCCACTTTCTCATACAAATAAAATAAAGATTACATTTTCGAAATGGCCGCCAGGTTATGGCTTCACTTGCAGTGAGGGTACATTCCCGCGCCGGCGCGATGGCGGGGCGCCGCGGGGCGCCGATGAACGCGTGCGATATCGCCCGCCAATCAACAACAACAACAACAACAACAACAACAAGAGAACGCGGCGCCCTATCGAAATCATTACCCGATTAACGAGCATGCAGCCCCGACCAGGATTTCAATTTCAGACTGGCAGTGGCGTGTCCGGCCGGCCTGCAGCAGGGCTGCCAACATGATGCAAAACCGACCCTCACGAACAGTCTAGAAGCTCCTGGAGGTACATTTCGAACAGTGTTTTCGCCTCTCTCTCTCTCTCTCTCTCTCTCTCTCTCTCTCTCTCTCTCTCTCTCTCTCTCTCTCTCTCTCTCTCTCTCTCTCTCTCTCTCTCTCTCTCTCTCTGTCTCGCACACGGGGCGTGGGGGTGCGAGGGAGACGGCGACAAGGCCGTGCTTACGGTGTGCTTGCGCGCGGCCCCGCGGCCCGATAGAGTGGCGTGGCGGCGTCGTCGGCGCGGCCCGCCTTGCTGCCTGCTCGTTGTCGGGGTTCTGATTGGCTCGCCGCGGCTCGGCCGCGCCGTTCAAATCAAAGAGCCATAAGGCTACTGGAGGGGAAGCGGCAGTCGCTCTGTCTCTCTCGCACCCGTGCGGCGCGGCCTGGCGCGGCCCGCGAGTGCGAGAGAGACAGAGCGACGAAAGCCTGCGCATGCTGCCGCGCTCCGCGGCTCCGCGCACCGCCAAGTCGCCACACAATGTCCTCATCACGGGGCCATTCAGGGAGGCCGGCGCAGGCAGCCAGCAGCCAGGCGGCAGCCAGGCGGCAGCCACCGCACTGACATTTCAATCCGGCCAAACGTGATAATACGGCGGGGCGTTTTTAAAAGGCAGGCCGGCCAACTAAGGGGGGACTCGACAAACACAAAGCCAACCTGGGCGCGCGGCGGCAAGGCAGCGCGCCGGGTTGCGACTACCCTTCCACTGTAAGTCTGCAGTGCAGAACGTGCAGTGCAGAATCGGCACCGCGGATGTGGCCTGCTCGGACGCCTTGCGCCACACTCGGCATGAAGGGCCGCGGCAGTACTCCACGCGCAAGGACCCGATCCCGGCGCGGGGTACCGCCGTTGCTCGCACGTACCTGTCTCGCTGTCCACGGTGTAGGGCAGGCCGGCCCAGGGGTCCAGCTCGTCGTCGCTGTCCTGCCGCTCCTTCTTGCACACCACCTCCGCGGGGCAGCCATCCTGGGGGCGGAAGCGAGCGGTGTTCAATGGGTTGCCTGCTGGCCGGGCGCAGCACAGTGGGCCAGAAGGCCGGCGGAGGCGGACAAAACTCTAGACGCGTTTTGAGCTCTAGAGTAGCTAAACAGGCCTCGAACCGAACGAGTGACCCCACCAATGGATTCCTCGTTCGGAGAGCAATCCATTGGTGGGGTCACACGTTCGGTTCGAGCCCCATTTAGCGACTCTGGAGCTCAAAACGCGTCTGGCCCACTGTGCGCAGCGCGCAGAGCCCGCGGCCGGCGATACTCCGCGCGCGCAGAGACGCTCAGCCACTCACCTTGCCCGGTTCCGGCGCGTTCAGCTCGTTCAGGATCTTGATCTTCTCGAGCTCGTCGCTGGTGCCGCTCTGCGACGCCGAGGGCTCCGGCGACGAGTCATTGGAGGCCGAGTGCTTCTCCGCGACCGGACTGTTGATGTTGTTGTTATTGTTGTTGTGGTTGTAGTACTCGAGCGAGAAGCCCAAGTCCACGTCCTGCTTCCACAGGACCTCGATCAGGTCCATGTCCTGCAAAAACAAGAATCAATGGTTGTAAACGCGGGAACGTTTTTTTTTTCGGTACAGAGGTGTGAGCAGCGTCGTTGGCTGCGGCCGCCTCGTCTAGCCTCGCCCAAGGCGGTGCGGTCAGTGTGGTCAATGCAGCGAGAGCGGCGCCATGGAACTGCGGAACACAGTGGAACACACCCCGGACAGACGCAACGCCCGCTATGGCAAAACAGACCGGTACAATCCAAAAAATAATAAAACAAAAAATACGTTTTTTTTAGGGGTTCCGACGAAGGAGGACCCCTATTGCCCGGGGCCGCTCAGAATTCTTCTTCTACGGACCCCCCAGGATCAACATTTCGTTCCCGCCATATTAATCCTTATCATAATACAATAAAAAATCCAGAAAATCTAAAAAATTTATCGTGGAAATTTCGCGTAAACGACCAAAACATAAATTTGCAACAATCAAGCACCCTTATCCGTTCACATTTTCCAGAAACGTTTCGAAGAAAAAATGTGCCACTCCTCAAAACTAAACTTCCCGCCTCATCAAAGTGACAAAAACTGATCACTGTTCTAAGAAAATGATAAAAACATGAAGAAAAATTCTCGATAAAAACGTCCCACTGCCATTATACCAACTGTCAAAATTGAAAGTCCATCATAAAAAGAAATTAAAACGTGGTAAAATTCACAAATCCCAATGTTCACTCATTGTACACTGATAAAACATTTACACATAATTCAAATCTGTCCTTAGTAAAAACTTCACAGCAGAAAAGACAGAATAAATAAATTTTCCGCAGTTGGCAACAATTTTCCCGGCGTCTGCGCCCTTTCGAAAATCGCGAGGCTGAAAAAAACAAGTAGTCGCACATTGAAACTGCCTCTCCATTGTTGCTGAGGTTGGGTTGTTTGGCTTGCTTTTAAAGGCTGCGGTTCTCTCTCAGCCCCAAAATATAAAATTTACTCCCTTCTTCGTATTTCTAACTTCAAATCTTCTTTCATTAACTTACATTATTTCCACAACCGGAACACCGTGCAATGCGTAAGCATTGGAATTTTTTTGTTTAATGGCCCAGCTTTTTAACTACGTATACGTAGCAGTAAAGTAAATATCGTTTTCAATTGACTTTTAGAGGGTACACTGTACCGTGTTGATTTCAACCGCTTCCACCTGGTTTGCGGCGTTTCGGTAAATGAGCACAGGTGCGTCAAGACCACTGCCGACGGCACACTGTGAGAAAAAAGTACGGAAAGAGTACGGAACATGTCTGGTCAATAATTTGCCTCGGAACGTCCGTACTAGCCAACTACGAAACGTTCCGTACTTTTTTCCGTACCCATTTACATGGGTTCATATGGAGCAAGTTTCTCCGTGCCTCCGTACTATATTTTTCTGTACCATTTCCGTACAAAAGTACGGATTTTTTTTACAGTGCACAATTCACACACACACTGACAGACACACATTCTCTTCGACAGTCGGGTCGCGCAGGGCGTGGTGGCGAGGGGCGGGACCGCCCCAGGCTGGACGGGCCTGACGGGGGCGAGCGGACAACGCCACGAGAAAATGACATCAGTGCTACTTTTAGACCTTCCCGGAGAATGACATCAACGGGCCGCTTTAAGCTAGCCCGTGTTTGCGGAGGGCGGCCGGGCTGCGGGACGGCCCCGGACAGATTAGCAGATGAGCGGCAAGTGATAACCAAGTGATAGCAGCGCGCCTCAGGGCCTCGGTGACGTGACGCCGGCTCTAGGTCTAGTGCCCCCCCGGGGGGGGGGGGGGGGCACCGCGACGACCTGTCCGGGCCCACCACATGACCCCCTCCACCGGTAAGGTCTGCTGCACTCACTGCGTGCACCGAGTGCAGGGCGTGCAGGGCACACTGTTGCATGCTGTTTGCCGCGGGGACGCCCCGCCGAGGGAATCCCCCTCGACTTCGCAGAAAACGCCGCCCTTTACGGAGACGGCCGGGCAGGGCCGGACCAAGGGCCGCACCCCAAAAAAATGACTTCTTGGATCAAAAAAAATTTAACTTTTCTTGGCTTTTGCAAAAAATTTTTCTTAATCCAATTTTTTTTTCTTGAATAAAGAAAAATTTTCTAGTGTCAAGATTATTTTTCTTACAAAAACCAAGAAAACCAAAAAATCAAGAAACCATTTTTTTGGGGTGCGGACCAGGCTGGCCAACGTTACGAAAAGTAAGCACGTGTTGCTCTGCTCTAACCAGGGACAATTAGTATCGCCCTGCCGTCGCACGCCCTCCCCAGTCCGTTTTCCCGCCGTTTTCCTTCAACTTGAAATTTACGCGCGGTCAGCATGTTAGTGTGCGTATATGTTGGCAGAACTCGCTGGAAAGCACAGCAGCGGACATGCCGCGAAAAACAAATAAGTTGTTTTGTTTTCTAGCCCCGCCCGCAGGCCAGTGGGTTACACACTGCAAACCGACGAGTGAGGCCGTCAGGCCGCGCCGTGTTGCCCTCTCCCAGCGAGGAGAAAGGGGAGGCCCGCCGCCCTGGCGAGCTGGCAGGCAGAGCTTCGCCGCCCACAATCGTGGGACAACAAAGTTGCGGAATTCGTACGAATGAATCCGTGCCGGGTGCAGGGGCGGCCGCTTCCCCTTGGCGTCGACGTGGAACGCGTGTCCGACAGACGCGTCGCGTTATCTCTCGGTGGACACGACCACGGTGACGCAGATGAGAGTGACCGTCCACCCCGCGGGCCAGGCTCGTGGGCCTCGTGTGAGGCTCACTAGGCCAGGGCGGCCGCGGCCAGCGCCACAGCGTGGACGTTGCGCCCGTGGGGGACACGCCGGGGACGGCAGCACTGCCAACACGACGTTTCCGCGAAGCGGCTGGGTTGATGGCGATACCAGAAACACCGGCCGAGTTGATGGCGATTCTAGAGAAACGGCCCAAAACGGCGTCACGACCCGAAGTTGGCGACAGTGTAGGTGCAGTGCACCGCCGCGAGCTCGGTGCTGTAGCACCACCCCGCGGCGAGAGTGCGCGGCCCTGGCGTGGCCTTGACGCCAAGGCGTCGCGGTGCCACCCAGTGTGCCACCCAGGCACGCGCAGTGATCCGCCCTGCTCGCGGACGTCACATGGCGGCACGTCACGGCCAAGGCCTAAGAGCGACACAAACGCCCAAAACGTGTGCACCCGACCCGATCCGCCCTCCACGGCACATCTCCAACAGCCCCGCACGCACACTGTTGTTTCATCACTACACGGCCGCACTGAGTGAGGGTCACACCGATGACACTTTGACAACACGTCCAACGTGCGTCGAGTTGCATTGGCAGAGAGTCCAACGTGGACTCGAAGGCGCCACCAGCAGGGAGGAGCAGCGGTGGTAATCCAAAAGAGCAGGGCGACGATGCTTCCACGCAGCACTGGGTAAAAGGGGGGGGGGGGGGGTCACGCCGGTGGGGGCGTAAGGACCCTCTCTCTCTCTCTCTCTCTCTCTCTCACACACACACACACACGCACGCACACACACCTGGAAGCCCGGCCCGGCAATGGCCCGCACACTCATGGCACCCCGATGCGCACGGGGACGTCAACGACACGTCTACTACACTGTATAAACACGGTTACACGCGGCGTATCCGCGGCGGCCTGTGCGTTTGCGAGTCTTGTAGCGGCCGGGCCGGTAGCGCCAGCCGATGCACACCGTTCACTGGGGAGACGCGACACCGCGCGCACACCGGGGCCCCGAACGGCCGCCCCGCCCCGCCCCGCCCCGCCGATAGGGCCAAGTTAGTCCGGGCCAGTCCGACAGATAGGGCGCCAGCGGCGACAGCGTCTCTGTCTCTGTCTCACACACACTCACACACACGCACACACACGCACACACACACACACACACACTCACGCACACACACACACACTCACACCATGCGCACACACTTCACGCACACGTGGGCAAAGCGCGCAGACCGCCGTAGGATTCGTTCAAACGAGCAGTCAAGTCAGTCGTGCGACGCCGTGCCAACCCTTTATCGGTCCGTACGCAATCTCGCTAAACTTAAAAAAATTATTAATAATAATAATAATTCCGTTGCGGGACAGTCACAAATTTGTCATATCGATGGTGGTCACCTACGATTAGAGTACTATATTTTGCAGATAAATGAAAAATAAATACTTGAATCCTCCTGCTTCGTGACACCACATTTATTTCAATGCTAATATTAATGTAATGTAATTAATGTAATATTAATAATGCTAAATATTCAAGCTAACTTTAATGGGGCAGCTTGTCTGCTAAGCACACAGCTGTGCTGCCATGCCATGTGCACGAAAGCGATTTCTGCGAAGAACAACGCACGCACACCAGACTTTTAGAAACACACACAAAAAAAAGCGGAGTTGTTAGTTTTTCCGAAGAGGGTATAAGGTACTACACACGCGCGCGCTGTGTGCATAGGTGTGGGTAAAACAAAGGTAACTAGACAGACTTCTGCCAGAAAAGAGAGGCAATTGTAAAAATGTGCGAGTTAAGGATCATTTTTCAAATCAAATACGTAAGCCCGTTTTTTGTTATTTTTGGCATTAAATCGATTTTTTTTACTCTTGAGCAAATTGGAGTTTTGAGGAAAAATTTTCTTCGCCACACCCGTTGTCCCTCGTTCTAGTACACCTAGTACCTTTGCGCCGAATTTCGTTCGAGTGAACCGAAACACGAAGTTATGAGTGTTTTCTTATCGTTGCACGACGACGGCGGCCGGCCCGACCGGCGTTGTCTAGTGAAATATAGAACGTGTGGCAGTCAAAGTGAATCAATAAGCGGCTTGCAGCACGTGGCGACAAATAGAGTCAAATATCACCGTTTATTCAACCGTCGGGCGCCAAGCACCGAGCTATCTATCCATCTGTTAATATCAAAATAATCTATCTATCCATCCATCCAGGTGCGGGTCGTCTGGAGACGCTGCAGTGCGAGGAGGACCAGGCGGGATGGAACCACGGGCACCACGGGGCACCGCGCGGGGAACCGGGGCTGTTTTTGA